CTAAGGAAAATATGACACACTTCCAAATCAAGTGTTTTAGGGTATTTGCACTTGCTTCTAAATATAACCTGTTATTTCGGTGGCAATGTTTAGCATACTGTGCTCAACAGTCACCAGATGCTATTTAAATTCTAGCTTTTCCTTTCCAATGGAAACCTGCAACAGGGCATTTTCACTGCCCTCCTTGCTGGGTAGACTCCTCTCAAAGAAAACAGGGTGTTTGTTCATTCTTTCTTTCACTCTTGAAAATTTATGGGTGGAAAACTTGCCAGCTGATACTGGATCAAGTCTACTGTCAGGGCAAGGTCCAGTCCCCTGCTTGCTTCTGCAGGGTGGTGGATCCAGGCTCTGCCAAGGGAGTTCCTTCAGTGCTCTGAACAGTCTGGGCTCTTTGATTCAGCTGTGTCTGTGTCTGAATGTGGTCAAGGTACACATGGGGTTAAAAGATCCAATTTCATTTAACTTCTAAGGAAAACACCAGGCGGCAGAGGCAGTGTGTCACTATAAGCACCACCTCTGCAATACCTTCAGCTGACCCCGTAGGCGGCCACAGATCTGAATTTTTTTGGGAGCAAATACTAGACACCAGCATTTACAGCTTTTCTGAGTTCAAGCTTCACATTTGTCAGTTATTTTCTGAACAGCACAGAAAAGTGCAGTGCTCAGATTTACTTCAGTGGCCAAGGCAAAGCATGGAATGATTTAGAAAGGCCAGACACAGTTGCTCTGACCCCTCCCTTTAGATGCTGCTCTTTGAGAAGGGGCTAAAGCTCTCTTTGTGCTTGTCTGTTCTGAGAAGCAGCTGTCACAGGCTCGGGAGATCCCTCAGCTGGCAGACCTGGGAATTGCTGGCTGTAATGATTTTCATCTAGTGAACCTAGTACTGTATTTTACTCTGGGATTAATGCTGCACCGCTGCAGCCTCATCTCTACGGAAAATACACGGTGTAGCTCCATCCAGGCCCAGCAGGGCAGGACTGAACCTCCTTCACTAGAACATGGACTGTGGGGTCCTCTTGAAAACCTGCTCAGACCATTGTGAGACCAAGTGTCCCAGCTCCAAGTGTTCTCTTCACTGTGTGAAAGGGACAGCTCTCAAGTGACAGATTCATTATGTGCATTTAGGTGGCACAGGGAAAACTCAGTTGTGATTTCCACGTAGGCTGAACAGATTGAGAGTGATGAGAAAAGGCAGGTTGAACTTCAGCTTTGCCTTACCAGCTAAGGGACTGAAATGTTGTAATGCTGAAATGTTACTGCATCGTGGTTAATATAAATTCATAGCCAAAACTATTTACACAAGGGACAGAAAAGACAGCCAGACAGATTTTTAAGACCTCATCTTAGTCTTGGTATCTGTTCTTTCTGAGCCAGCTATTGCAATCTATCTATCTTGATCTTTTCAGTGAAAAATGAGGCAGGCTTCAAATTCTAGTAATTTATGTGTTCTGGGACCTAAAATACATCAACACATCTGCTTTTAGTTTTTCCCTCTTTTACCCACAGATATAGCTCACAAATACAGGGGTCCCAGCATTCTTTATTTTTAAATCTTGTCTTGTTTTTTGTTGGTTTTTTTTCCCCCAACAAGTCTTACCTTCTTCTGTTTGGATACAGAACACCTGCTGGAACTGCTGTTTTCAAAGTTACTGCACGGAATGTGAGCATTTGCCTGGTCACACAACAGCATGCACATAAAAACTGGAAGGATTTGGCCTTGTGCTTCAGCAACCTTTAAGCATCTTAAAAGATCCTTTTAATGCTGCCTATGGTTTAACATGAGGTTATTCCTTCTAGAAATGTAGGGCACTATCGTTTGCTTTTAACCCAACAGAATTCAGGAATTTACTGAACATTTTCCCAGGGCCCTCCCTTAAAATAATTCTAATCTTAATTATTAGCCCATTGTCTGAAACACCACAGAGTATTTGCTCAATATTATTTCCATTCCAATTACACATGTAGAAAGGCAATTTTTAAGAATGGCATGTTTTCACACTTTGCATATTTGCCACTACTGATTGTTTATCAAGGAAAAGGTCTTTTATTGGTGCCACTCATGCTTTATTAAAAAAAAAAAAAAGCAGCTACACAATGCTAAGAAAAAAAAAATCAGTATACTTTACAAAAAACCTGCAGCTGTTTTCAAGAGATCTGATCTCACTTATAAATGCAAGTCAGCAGGTAAGAAATTAAATGGTAATTTAACACTTCAGTTGCAGTACATCACCTGAACTTAATCATCCAAAACAATCAGCCATTCCTAAAATGACTGTTGATTGTAGCTACATAAACAATCATCTGTATCAACTGATTAGAAAAAATCCCTGGGAAAATTTAGAGATAAATGGAAAAATATCAGAAGAATGTTACTTAGCCCACCTATAAATTTTTGCAGAAACTAAGATCTTTCTGAATTTGCTCTCCTCTGTATGTTTACTGCAACTCCTCTTAGAAATGTCAAAGTGTAAAGCTGCTAAATTCTGGTCAGTGAGGGGATTAAATTAGTACAGTATGGATCTATGTGTACAGTTGCCAACCATTTACACTAGTGCTGTGTCTTACTATCTCCATGGAAGTGTATTGTGCAAGTCCCAAACAACTTCAAAACACTCTTGAAACAGCCCTTATGTCACTCCTATGAGGTAGGTACTGTCCTTCCTTTGGAGAAGAGAACAGACTCTCTACTGCTCAGTACATCAAGCACACTGAGAAACAGGACAACCAGCCTACTTTAGTATTTGGCTTCCTGGATTCAGAGCTCTTACCTGCAATATTTTGTTGAGCACCATGCATTCTAGGAATATCCAGTAAATTATACTTTTGATTACACCTTATCCAAGCTAAGGAAGACATTCAGCACAAATGTTTTAGAACAAGCAGAAGCACTGCCATCTCCAGTCTGCTCTATCCAGCTCCACAGCCTACAACTTAATTTTGTACATGGAGAATGAACTTAAATCCTTGAGTCTGACAGCAGCCACTCTTCTTTCTCTGATTGAAGGATACTGGGGAAAAAAATGAACCACTGACAGAAAGCAGACAGCATACAGAGGGCTACAGGTATCACATGCAGTTCAAGGGTAGCCTAAATTAATGCTTTGCTGCCTCTGCAGATGTGAACACTAAAGATGTTTTTCCTACCCGAAGTGTAGAATTGTTAGGTTTTTACAATTATTTCAGTAAGATAAGGAGCTGTGAGAAGGGAATTCACAGAGGTCCTTCACTCTAAGCCCATAGTTCATTTGCTCTCTAAAACCACTTTAGGATCTTTTACTAATAAAGAAACCCTAGCCCACAGCTTCTTTCACAGTTGTCACTCTTCTCAGAACCCCCAGGAGCAGCTGTGGCAGTGTAGTAAGCTGGCTGAGAACTGGTAAGAATGCTGGATTATACAGATGGTTGTGCTGCCAAATGGAACTGGGTGGCATAGACAGGCAGAATTGCTGCTGTCTCATCCTTAAGTAGCAAAACTACAGCCTACTCAGCTGAGAATAATAATTATATCCAGCAACATACCTGTGACACTAAGCTATCCCTGTTTAAAAATAGAGTATAAAATTCAAGTACCAAAATAAAAGTTTATAACCAAGAGGATGAAGCAACAACTCTACGCCCCCAATTTAAGAAAACTGAGTGTAATAGATCGGCTTATTCACTAGAAATAATACTAGAGATGCAAAAGTTCAGTTACCTCTGCATGCTGGAATGTTACTGCTAAATTTCAACCACAGCAAATTAATGAGAAACAAGTAATTAAAAAATGTTATAACATTCATCATGAGCAGCAGGGGTCTACTGGCCCCTGCTCTTATGAACTGCTTCTGGCTAAGAAACTCACTATGAACCATCTACAGTGAATGCCAAGTTGTATCATCAGAAAAACAGCCTTGGTACATCCGGACTTTCCCACTGCTAGTTCCAGTGCAAACTGCCTTCTCTCTTTTTTCCTGCTTAGAACTTAAACATTTGGAAGACAGCCACTGACTGCAGAGAAGAGAGCTCAGCCTTCAAATACTTCTTATTTGTAGAAATAAAACTAGGATATTACAAATTAATATCCTCAGTTCTGATCCTTTGTCTTTTTTCCTGGCATACCACTGTATCATCACCATCCCCTCAAAGAATACCTTTAAACCTCAGGAAGAATTAAGAGTATACAGTTCAAGATGACCTATTACAAGATGAAAAAAACCCCTCTCAATGCCAGGTTAGAGACACAATCCAAGAGAGGGAACTTCCAAGTTCAGTGCATCAGGTGCTGCAATCACTATGGGGCTTTAGCATAGGAAGCATTTAATCCATAAACACTCTGTTGAATCAGTGCAAGCTGGAATACAAGCCTGCACATCTACCACAGAACCAATCAGATTATATCACTAAAGGCAAATAAAGGTGTTCCACACAATTTGAGTGGAGATGCCCCTTATGAGGGCAACATTCAACTGTTTCCTAAATGATCTGAATGACAATTAAGCAACCTTAACAGCAAAAAATATTCTGCCTGGACTAGCTGTATTTTTAGGAAGTTGAACAAAGCATCTTCTCCATAGCAGTATGAGTCAATAACACAGTTCATTCTGGCAAAGTGTGTAACAAAATAGTGCCAGCACAGGTAGATTCAGAGCCTAGATGCTTCAAACACACTATGGATAGGATTTGGAAAGATCACTCAGCATTCACTGGCTCAGAAGTTCAGTCCCTGAAGATCAAGTGTAGAACTAAAAGGGCGTTTTCACAGGTGGGGATGAGAAAAGGGAGGAAAAGAAGACAGAGGCCTCAGATCTATGCCTCTTCCAGAACTCAACAAGCCTTCAGGTAACATTCAGACATAGGAAGAGAGGCAGCTGAGATGCAAACAGTTCAAGCCTTGCCCAAGCAAACTGATGTTCTGCGTATTGGCTCTTTTCCCTGTCAGTTAATTCCTGAACACAGTTCACATGGATCAATACCTCAGTACCTAGTAATCACGTAAGCCACAAAAGGAAATCTTGCTTTGATTTTGCACACAGCTTTTCTGCTTGACTACTGAACCAACAGGCAGCTAGTGATGAATATACATCTGTGCTACTAGTTAAGAAAGACTACGTGAAAAAAACCTCAGACCGATGTACTGACCAGTGTAAAGAAGCTCAGATTTAAAAACTGTAAACGGTGAATTAAATAGTTTGCCAATAAAAAGAATTATTTGAATCCAATTGTTTTTCAAGTGTGTACAGCAAATCCTTGTAAAGCCTTAAAAAAAATAAATTGGCCTTTTGATACATATGACATTCTAGTTCTTAGGAGAGAGAACCAAGAACTCACTGAAAAGTTGTTCTGGCTTATTCAACAGTTTCTTGAGTAAACATTGCAGAACTACCACTATAATCTGAATACCTAAGATGCTGGCACAATTCAATAACTAACCATTTAACAAACTGGGTATAAAAAAGAAATTTATGTAGTAATACCAATTCAGCACACAAATTCCATGCTTCACAAGTTCTGCTGCTGTGCAAGAGTCTTCCTAACATCTATGCAGCTAAGTTCAGATTTTTAGGTCACTGCATGCCCAGATCAAAACAGCAGCAAAATATCTACCACTACAAGCAGCTATACCCAATTGTGCCTTTAGAATGAAGACTATGCAGAAGTTGAGATGATCAGTGCCTGGCCACTGAGACAGGACCACACACACAAACCTCAGTGTGTGCACTTTGTAAAGAGTAACGTTACTGACTGAGCAATAACAATTGCATTCAGGTTCTGATACAGATATGATACAATCAAGACAGATCAAAGTCACCAGACATTCAGATTAGGGAGAGGAGAAAAATCCTTCAATGACAATGTACAGATGACAAGCCAGCATTACAAAGAACTCTAAAGGCACATTTCAGGTAACATGTTTCTGTTGAGACCAACTGCTTACACACGCAGGCACAAATCTTAATGGCTACCTCCCCTGACCCCCAACAATTTAAAAAAAAATTAAAAGAGAAGTGCATTTTCAGTAATATTAACACCATTCAGTTAATTCATTCAGTCCAAATGTTTAGCAGTATTTTCCTTATGGTGGTATGGGTTCTCTGCACTACTCCAATCCAAAAAAACCAAACAGGCAGAATTAGTAAAGGTTCAACTGTTGCACTAGTTAACATTACTCATCAGAGCCCACTGGTCTCTTCTGTGCCCTCTTGTAGGGCAACCTCCTCGGTGAAGCCTTATCTAGATTAAAAAAAAAAAAAAAAAAAAGAAAAAGAGATAGTTGCATCAATTACAATTGTTATATGAGCATGTACTTTTCTCCTCCCAAACACAAGACAAGCTGCCCTTCTAGTGCAATGCATCACCACAGAGAAGTCAGTTCAAGCAACATGTTAAGGCTTTTAAACTACCAGCACCATAAATAGAAGGTAACAAAAAGATATGTTTTCATTCTGCAACATGCAACAACAGGGCAAGGTTTGTTGTATTTGTCAGTTACTAAAATGCAAAAACACCCAAGCCCAAAAAAACCCTATGTGTCATCCCCATGTGAAACTCCAGGCTCTGCTGCTCAGAAAACTTTCATATTCAGTAATTACACTTTTAGAAAGTTAAATGAATTATTTTGATGGCCACTGCCTTGAGTTTACACGGCTGCAGAATACAAGATTGTCTCTTCTTTAGACAGCTATGTCTTGCATGTAATATTTCCACATTCATACAACTAACAGCAGAAGAAAACTGTTGTGGAAAACTGCACTTTTCCAGCAAGCATCCACATTGACTGGATGATCTTTAAGGTCCCTTCCAAACCAAACCATTCTATGGTTCTATCATTACTGCAGAGAATACTTTCAATAACCTTCAATACTTCACATGAAGTGCTAAAGTGACTGCTAAGTGCATCTGGTGACTAATTTTCTTAAACAGAACAATCTCCAATAACCTCCCTTGTTAGAGTATGTGCAAACACAAGGAGCAGCCATCATGCCCTTACAGACCAATCAGTACAGTATGAAGTGTCAACAATAAAAAAGTCAAGAATATCAGAGATCTTGAAGGTCATTATTTTAAAGAGTTCTAGTGTAGAGTTCTAACTGAAACTAACCTGGAGCTGAGAAAACCACAAGAACAACTTTCCCGTTCATTTTTCATAAACTTCAAGTGTTCAGATATGAATACTTATTTGGCTTAAGAAAAGGATGGTGGTGGGGCCTGAACATGACCAGAATTTGAACCCCTTTAAAGTCAGCTTTCTCTTTGGCAAAAAGTAGCATTTAGAAACTCAGTTTTTCTTGCTAGATGGAGGCTTTTCAAATTCCTGTGTCTGGATTTTATACTATTCTAGTATTTAACAGAAGAGAGGGTACAAGAAAGCTTTTATCTTCATAAGTAAACCACTAGTCTTTAAACCTATGTTGTGTAAGTACTCTTAAAGAGGATAAAGGAATTAAAAAAGCCCAAAGTTATCAACTCCTGGCACAACTTCATACCACAGCTAAGGCCTCTAGCCCTTCTGCACCAAATGAAACTCAGAATATGCTTATTTGATCAAAACAGCAGTCCTCGCCTAGTAAGAGTAGCACCTGAAAAGGGTTTTCAAACTCTGCATCTCATGTAGGATGCACTTCACTGAGGCTTTCCACCTCACAGCAGTGACTGCTACTGATGGCAGGACTTTATCAGCCTGATACACCAAGCTAAGCAGGGAAGGCAAGATCAACATCTGCCTTTTAGAAAAAGAATTCTGGGAACCGTGACAGAAGACAATACTTCATCAATATTCTACTGAAACTATGTTTCTACAACACAACCAGAAATACATCCACAAAATACATGAAAACATAAATTTAGATGTATATAAAATGTACACCATTGCATGCGTCTGTTCTGCATCTTTCACTGCTCATGCTACATCACCAGTCACAGCATGCAAGAAGCTATGCCTAATTATTACATGGACTTCTATCCATGCCTAATTATTACATGGACAACACACTAAGCACTTTTCACTCTGCAGCTCACAAAGAGTCTGCCTCACCTCTTCTACTTTGCACTGAAGCCAGGAAAGCAAAAGAGAAGAAAGAAAAAGAGAAGTCAGAAATATCCACAGTCTAAAGAAATCAGATATTGGGGTTAGTGCTGGCATTTCAGGTATTAAGTAGAACTTTCGGATTTGTGAAGGACATCAATAACAAGTATTTATGTGACTTTAGTTAAAACACACTTCTAATACTTATTTAAGACTTTGGTCTATAGGTAAACTTCCAAACAACTTACAGAAACTCTGAGATGACCTCTACTTTCTCCTATTTAAACCATTTTTGCAATCCAGGTTTTGGGTAGACACCTCACACTGTTGAAAAATATTCTACAGAACAAATTGTAAAAGTCACCAGTAGTCATTATCTCATCAACCAATGAAGTTTGTTCTACCATGAATGGGCTGCTAAAGTAATAATCTCATCCTTAAGTACAGTGCTTGAGACAATTTGTTATTCCCTACATGCTGTTCTAAGAAATTGGTATCAGCTACTTACTCAGTTATAATTAATTGGTCAAGTTAAGTTTGTTGTGGTGTAGTTTGTGAAAGACAGACTACTTTACTTACTTATTTGATTTAAAGTTTCTTGGGGAATCCAGCTCATATCAACATCGTTCTGATTCGATGTTCCCATCTCTACTTTCTGTACCGGTCTTTTCCTCTAAAAAATTCAAGAAAGAAGAAAGATTTTTCTTTTAAGTAAGACTTGGGTAGCACAAGTATTAGAAATTACTAAAAAAGCAATATTTAGTGAATTACAATTATTTCACTAAGGTACAAACTTAAAAGCTAGTCAATGCACAGAGCTGTCTTTCCCATTAGCAATTTATTCCCCTAAGCTTTGTATTACCACTTGTAACACCTTACAACACTTATTCCACATTAAGGCACCAAGATTTCATGCACACCTGGGCAAACTCATTACACCTTTTCTGATGATCTGTCAAACTTTGTGATGACAAGTTTTATTTTGCTTTCTCAGATTAGCACAATATTCTCACATGTGACCTACCTTGCAAAATAATCAACATTATGGCAAAGCTTTGCCAAGAACTAAATAAAGGACTGACAGCTGTTTTCCCCTGAAGTCTGACCTGGATTAGACTGATAGGCAGAATTAGAGAGCATGGGGAAAGTAAGTACTGAAGTAAGTAGACACAGACACTCAGTGATTATAAAGTATTCCAATTCAACCACTTCACTGTGGAGCCAAAGGGCATGAGGCTCAGCAATCAAAGTATCTTCCATCAGGAACATTTTTTAAGAATGCTCTAGTTTCCCCAGTAACCTCTAAGGTTCTAAAAATAAATCTTGTACCTTTACCATCATATGCCAGAAGCAATCACTGAATTGCTTTATTTCACATCAGAAAGGTTTTGTATTAACAAGTACACAGACAAACACGCTACCCACCTTCCTAGACTCTAGTAACTGATGTAGGCCAACAATGACCAGCAGACCAAGTCCAGCAAGGAACATGTACATGAAGATCCTTTAAAAAACAGTTTAAGAAACAATGCATTAACTAAAAAGGTCAAGTTTTGAAGATAATTTCTATGCCTCTTCATAAGCTAAGCCAAATTTTGGCCACACATCCACTGAAACTTTCCCAAGAACTTCTGTAGGGGGCAAGTGGGGAAAATACCCAAGGAATCTGAAACTAAAGTTCTACCAACTATAATGTAATTGGATTTTAGAAACTGTAATCATAATTCTGAACAACAGACCATTTGAAAAACGCTGTATAAATTGGAAAAGTGTTACAAAAAATAAATACTGAAATTTAGTAACCTCAAGAATTCTTTTGCACTACCAGTTTCCAGATATTGGGTCACAGGCAATATTTAGGTCTGTGACAGCTTTAATAATTTATAAAACCCTTGAAAGTCTCTTGTATGCTTTTAGCATGCTATTGCAAAGCAAGTACTGCTACAATACTATTAACTTGCAACAGAGCTTTGAAAGACTTTATCTTGCTCTGTGTTCCACAGTTACAATTCTACCTACAAAATAAATTTTCTTAATCTGTGCATTCTGGTTTGTTTTGAAGAATTTTATCTGAAGTACCTGTTGATACTTAGCAAGAGGTAAACCTAAGTTATAGCTAAAATTGATTTGGGGATTAAGGAATTTACAGTTAAAGAATTTATTCCAAGCTGAATATCTGAACTCTCATTTATGACAAAGGAAATGATGGTGTTAAACTGAAGAAGAGACTTAATTTCAATACCTGTTATAGGGCAATTATCTGTTCACAGGACATTCACACAAACTGATATTAGTATCTGAATTGTTTTGAGAGCTCCTTTTTCAGAGCATTACACATTTTCATGTTACCAACTGATCTTTCATTTACACTACATTGTATTTGACATACATTGTATTTGAGAATTCCAAATTAATGCAACTGCTATTTCTTTTGGATAACCATTTTTAAAAGGAAGCTTGCTCAACAGGAAATTTCTACCTGTGCCAGGACAATTCACATATTCAGCATTGTCTACAAGTATTTCTGAAGATTGACTTTTTTAACACACAGCTTCACTTAAAATTCAATTCCAGTGCTACAATATTTAATAGCATTTTAGCACAGCATATGCTTGAAAGACATTTGGTGTGTCAGATCTACCTAAGTCTGAAAAAAACCACTCCTGAATGGTACCTATATAGACAGGGGTTAGAAGAACTCAGTTATTCTTTGCTGTGCTATTTGGTACTCCAAATATGTCTTTTAGTTTATGTAAACTTAAGATTACACTGCAGTGTTCCAGAAGAAAGCTATTCCAGACCTGACAGCAGGACCCACAGCCTGATACTACGGACTCTCTGCATCTTTCAGGAAAAAGCACAGCAGCATAACAGAAGCTTAACAGCTTTGAATTGCTATGTAGCTGAATAACATCAGGTCCAGGCTTAAGCCCTCTGAGCTAAGGCACATCTGTCAACTTCTCACTGACACAGTACCAGTCCTGAAGATTCCCACTAATAACAGAGATCTTAATTTTGGGAAAAGTTTGTATTTTCAGTCTGTCAAATGCTGCTACATCATACACAAAACACAGCAGACCTGACACTCAATAAAATTACAATATGAGAACTATTTTCAATGGCACCACCAATAACCTGTTCTATCAGTGCACCAACTAAACCTGGCTCTCCAGTCTCCTTACGTTTCTCCATCCAGCCCATCTTCTTTTTCAATAATTGTAACAGTTTGATTGAAGACAGCATCTTGAAAAACATTGCCCTAGAACAAAGTTTGCACATAACATTTTAAATTAATTTCTTCAACACATACACAAACGTTTACCTTTTTCCATGTTCTCAGAGAAATTCTAGAAAGCCACAACTCCTGCACAAGACTATCTTAAGGCAGTAAGTTACGCTCAACACATAAAAGCACAAATGTTTGGTTGCCCTCTACAGTTCTAAGACAACCCAGCTTCCACTGCTAACACAACTTTAAGTGCATATAGGCAATCACTTGCTGTGCTTATGTATCCACTGATTTGCTTAAATACTACAGAGGTACTTGACTAAGCAGTTCCTTCCTGACACCTTCAGACAAACTAGAAAGATTCAAATGAATTGGAGCATCGGGCTTACACTTGCATCTCTGTAGTTGAGATTGATAACCAGACCGAAAGGACGACCACCCATAGGCTCAGCAGGGATGAAGGAGTACTCAAACGTGGCTTGTCTCTGTGGTGGAACTACTGTGTTCAGAGAGAGAGCTGTGAAGTTCTGGATGTAAAACTGGTAGTCTTGAGGGTACCGGAAAGAAGCATCGAGAGACTCGACAATGAAATCCTCTGTACCCTTATTGGTGAAGCCCACCAGAAATTTTACAATGTTGTTCGCTGGAAAGTCTGAAACACACACACAAAAAAAAAAAATCAACCATAATAAACCTCATGCACCACACAAGCCAATTCTAAACAGAGAGCATCTAGAACAGACACTGTGGTTTCACTGTTTTAGGCAAACACTGATGTAGTCTAAGAAACAGTAAAGAGAATGGTGGATTAGCAGAGGACTCTTACCTTCACCTTTCACAAATAAGATGGTTGTATCAGCACTAGGTGAGGCTTTAGGTTCTCCTGACAAGTCTTCTTCCTCTTTTTCTTCTGTCTAAGACAAGAGACTTTTTTGAAAAATCCTATAATGAACAGTGAAGCAAAAACCATGCTTGGTTCATGACAATCCCATGTGTCAAAGCATGCAACAGTGGCAAGTATTTATAACAAATCCTGCTCTTGCAGGATTAGCACCACAGTCTGTTCTCCTTCTAGATTTGCTGAGCATCCCTTTCAGCATTTATCTTTCTACTTGTTATATTTGACACAGTGACTAATCTGAACTACATTTAGCTCTATTGAAGTGTTTGGAATCAAAAAGCATCAGTAAGGCTTCTCTTTGGGGGTGGAAAGAGAAGAATAGAATCTAAATGTTAAGTGTTCACATCTAAGCTATTTCCAGTTAGAAAACAAGCATTTCAAAATAAAGACAGCCATAAAATAAATCAGTTACTTTCACTACAGGGAGTGTTTATGGCAGCTTCCTATTCAGTTTTAATTAGTTAAATGTTATGTATGCCTGGAAATGGTTAGGCTATTGGAACTACCTAAGTCCATGGATTCACTTGTTCAAGTTCACCTTGTGATGAATCACTTTTTAATTTGACAAATGCAAGCATTAAGAGATTATTTGCCGTTTGGGGATCACGGGATCATCACCATCCCCACCAAACAAAAACAAGGCTGACCCAGTATTGAACAGTCTCAGCTAAGTACTGGCAAGTCAGTTGGATCACTGGATTTCAGTGCTTAAACAACCTCCTGAAGCAGTGGAAATCCTAGTGAATCAGTCACACACATACCACTAGGGAACCAGGGCTGAGCATGTAGCGTCTTGATTCCAAAACCTTATGAAAAACCCTTTTATTTGAGTGACAAATAAAAGAAACTGCCTAAAAAGCGTTGTGTTTTGTACCGAAGGCATAGACTATTTATTAAAAGGAAATTACATTCAAAAGTTTATTAAATAATAGTCTGGCAATATTGACTAGTATACCTTCTACAACTCTTATGGTTTTGATTTTCTGAGTAATTTTATGAATTTGTGTTGTAAATTTAGTTAGCTGTATTTTTTTTTTAAACAAGAGTTTCAGAATTCATTTTGAGCTTAACTAAAAACGAAGACCCTGTTGCCCCTTAGAAATCAATATCAAAGAAGCCAGAATGAAGTAGTTCTATCCCTCAGTGTTCTTCTCAGTTTACTGAGGTGCAGCTTCAGATAAAAAAGGATTACAGAGTGCTCCTATGAGAATGTGGTTCTCCCACTTGGTGGTTTGGTTTTTTTTTTGGTGGACTACAGTTTTGATAGTCAGAAACCAGGTTGTCTCCATGTGGTTTTTCAACTGGTAATTCAGAAACAAAAGACAAATCCTTCTGACACTTCAAACTGAACACAAGCTTAATCAGATACATGGAAACAGCCACCTGAAAAAAGCAATGTCAGTAAACTCAGCTATTTAAGTTATCAGCTTCAAGCACTGCCAGCCTAATTCACACTTTTGAAGTAACATTCATGTCCAATTACCAAGTCTGTTGGCTCATCTTCTTCAACTTCAGCTTCATCATCCTCATCTTCAACTATAGTATCTTCCACAGCTTCCTCATCTTCTGTAGCATCTTGAGCTGCAGCTAATAAACCTGCCAAAACAAAATGCAAACACAAGAAAATCTTTCAAATGTCTAGTTAATCAAGAAAAGCCTCGTGTTTAAGCACAATTCTCAAACTAATGCTTGAGGAACTTCTTAAAAACCTTTTCAATACAGTGTTTTGAAGCCTCAGTTGCAAAAACCTCCTATTCAAATGATGTCTGTGTTGATCTTTCAGCCTTATTCCTTCACTAAAAACTTTCTCACTTACTCAGTTATCTGCCACTAAGTTCAAAACCAAAAATTTACAACTGGATGACAAAAAGTTCAGCATGCATACAGCAATGCCTAAATTTGCAAAAGGCAGCCAATTGACCTTAAAAGCTATTGTTCAATCACATTAATGTAAGAAAATAATTCAATTTTGCAATTACAAAAGTGAAAATAAGGCATTCCTATTGCCAGGAAATTAATTTAGTAAGTACTGTTTCTTCTAATACTAGCAAGTCCAACAAGTATATTAGCACACTGGCAACAGAACACTTTGAAAGGTACCTAAAAAGTTACTTTTTTTTGTTGTTGTTCTTATTTTCATTCCAGTTTTGAAACCTAAAGAATGTTTTTTGTACTACAATCTCCTCAATATCATGTACAGCCATCTATCCAACAGAACCACAACAGCAGTCAGAAAAGAAACGCGACCTAGAGCAAGGCTCCAAGACAAGAGCAATCTGATAGTCCATTGCCTCTGTGCTTTCGTGGAGCCAAGCCTCACACATTCAAACACTGGGCAAATATGATTAATAACAATACTGGCCACGGGACAAAGTTCTGTCTGTTTGCAGTCCAGAGCACATGCAAGCAAGGCTGAGATCTAAAACATGTGCACAGAACGACAGGTTTGGGGTTTTTTTAACAAACTCAACGTTTTCTGAATATGAAAGAGTAGAAACGAATGGATGACTCATTTACGTAGGTCTGAAAAAAGACCTAGCTGCTACAAACACAAAATTTAAAAGAAATATTTAAAATTTTTAATGGGAAATAGGAATCCTTGAGCACAACAAGTGCATCCAAGGACTTAAGAATTGCCAGCCAGTGCTAGAGTGAGCAAACCCAACCTCTCCTCTCAAGCATCTTTAGAAGGCACACTCAAAGACTTGCTCAGCCAGGTGCAATACTTAACCTAAGCCTTAACTACCGTGATTTTATTTGATGTTTTAAACTCGTAAGTGTATAAAATTGTATGTCTACAAAAATTCTTACACATAAAGGTGAGGGGGTTTTAAATTAAAAATGAACAGCGTACAGCTAGGCTGTAGACACCCTTTGCCATCTGCTGCCCAGCACACCCTCAGACCCCTCACGGTGTTTCCGATGGATGTCAGAGGAGCTGATGATGTGGCATTAGCGGGAGAGCTCTGGGAAAGGACTCGCACACGGCGTGAGCTGCAGCCCACTGCAGGAGCTGGGCGAAAAGCCTTCCCAAACTTAGTAGTAGGGAGGCAATTTCCAGATCGTGAATCAGATAACACCACAGCGTAAACAGAGATTAGCGCTCCTCGGTGTCGCCAAGGACACTCGGGGGGTGGCGGCAGACGAGGTGGGAAGGCAGGGTGGCAGCCAGCGCATCTGTTAGGGCATGCGGGACCCGGCACGGCCGGCGAGCGAGGAGAAGGGCAAACCCGCTGCCGCCGCCCCAGGAGGGGCTCTCCGGCTCTCCCGGGCCGCTGTCACGGCCGGGCCCGAAGCCGGCGCCCGCGGGGGCCCTGCCCGACACCGCGGGTCGCACACAGCCGCACACACCCACCCACCCGCCCCGCTCCCCGGCAGCGACGGCCGCCCGTCCGCCCGCCCTCACCTGGGCCGCCGCGGGCGCCCCCGAGCAGCAGCGCGGCGGGGAAGACGAGCAGGGCGAGCAGCAGCAGCTGCGACAGGCGGCTCGTGGCCATGGTGAGGATGGCGGCTGTCGCGGCGAGCCAACTCCTCCAGCGCAGCCTGTCCCGGCGCTGGCTGCCGCGGCGGGATGTCTAAATGGCGGCGGCGGCGGGCGCTGGGGCTGGAGCGGCAGCTGGAGCCGCCTCCCCCCGCTGCTCCATCCGGGGCCGTGCCCGCCCCGCTCCGCCTCCGCGGACGTGGCTCGGCCGGGCAGGAGGCGCGGCGGCCACGTGAGCGCCCGGCGGGGCGGCGCTTCCTGCGCTCCCGGAGCGCGGCCCCGCTCCCGCTCCCGGGAAGTGCCGGCGGCACCGAGCCTGGCGGGCCGGGAGCCTTTGGACAGCGCCCCGGGCGGTCCGTGGTCCTGGACTTCCGCGGTACGCGTGGCGTTGCAAAATGTGGAATTTGAGGATGTAATCTGTCAAACAGGAACTAACAAGCAAGCTCTGTATGAAGTCTGGGTGTTAGAAGGACAAATTACTTGTCGGTAGAAGCGCCTTGCTGAGGTTTAGGCCTTGGCATGCTGCAGTGATCTCAGACCTAGGCAGAGCCTGGGAAGAAGGATGTAGCGATAATAGTGGATACAAAGAATGCAGAATTTACAGGTCACAAGGACATTTGGCAGAACTCCCAAGATAAGGAGGAAACTTAATAAACCTAGTAACTGTGCTGAATTACCTCTGAGTGGACAAAAGGCAATTCCGGCAGGTGGAATTAACTCACGGACCACTGACCCCAGAAACCCCCTAAGCAGAGAAAGATGGAGCATGTGGATTAATTAGCATGAGAAGTGAGAGACTCATTAACCAATAAAAGATAGAATACGACTTAGTAAGAGAAATATGTAACTTGTAGATAATGAACGTTAATGCCTTTGTTTACTAAAATGTATAAATAGTGAAAAGTTTGGACAGTTGGTTTGATAGTGCTTGATTTGCAGAATACCATTGAGCAGCCAGGCTGGTGCAACTCTGGAAAAAATTATCAATGTCTGAGTGTGAAATTATTGGCTTATTGCACACCAGGTAACAAGTCCATTTCGGCTGGTGTAACTCTGGAAAAAATTATCAATGTCTGAGTGTGAAATTATTGGCTTATTACACACCAGGTAACAAGTCCATTTTTTTCTGGACAACAGTGGATCCCTTCCAACTCTAATATTCTGTGATTCTGTGGGAAGCAGGCCAACATACCTTCAGAAAGACCAAGGATAAATCATAGTACTGAAACAAAGGTGCTATTGAAATCTGGTAATTCCATGTTGCTCTAGAATAGCTGGGTTTGACTCATATATTTGATGGTTTAATTGAAAGTTTCCCAAAGCCTGATAGGCAATGAGTATGATACTGATACATTGCCTTTATCTCAGTAGACCTCTTGTTAAATGCAACACAAGGGATGTTAAAAGGGAGAGCTTTCCCAAACCCTACAATCAAAACATTCAGTGAAAATAAAAATGCCAAGGCCCAAACCAGCCTCCCTGCATGCTTTCTCTTTTCTCCCACAGTTTATTCAGCTTATTTGCATACAGGGTAAAATGAAACAAGAGTAGTGTTAAGATACATTCTATATTTTGAGGTAACTTTAATTTGTCATTTGGGCATATGCAACTTGCTGTCATGACAATAGTAAGTGTAGTCTTGAGGCTTTAATTTTTCAATTTCACTCATTTGATTTTGAACCTGCAAATTACACTAAAAATTTATCAGAAGTAACCATTCTAGCTAAACTTAATCTTATTTTAACATGCTGAAAACGTTACTGAAAGGCTGTTAAGCATTGACTGAAAGTGGCACGTAAATATAAACACTGGAAAACATTCATTGCTACTGGTAAAAGCATTTCTAGTCAGATAATATCCACCCAATGGTATAATATTACTTTTTCTGTAAAGGTCTTTCACCAGCTGGCAATGTCTTTATCCTAGTTGTGGTCTGGTTGTTTCAGAGGAGTTTTTTTGGGAGGGAGGGGAAAGCAGCTAATTATTTTTTCTTCAGGAAAGTAAAAGAATACTGGCATGCTGTAGGAGGTTTCCTATATAGCGCTGCCAGATCTGAAGCACTTTGTATCTTCTACACAGTGACTATGTATTTTAAGTGTTGCTCTTCTGAGTTAACTGTTCTTGGCATTACCAAGTAATTAACCTGTGTGGTGCTCTTACTGGGTTTGTATGTTGCAGAGGCATAGAAAGGTATTAATTAAAAGTGTATTTGAAAATAATTGCGGGACCTTGACCAGCTTCAGCAACACGCCAAGCCAAGACTGACTCCAATGTTACAGCTGTACCTGAAAGCCAATTAGGCTGCATTCCTTGTGCTAAGTATTCTACTCATATGAAACAATTTGAAAGAAAAGTCTTCATGAAAATCTGGAACCAGCTGCAGAGATATTTTTTTCTTTTTGCATGGACTGCTCTGCGCATTTATTCACAGGCATAATAAAGTAAGTGTTGACAATATTTGCTGCTATTGTGACACTGAGCTTTATGTTGGATGCTAATTCTGAGAAGACTGGAGTTCATGTTGCCCCTGGGAATGTGATTGCAGTCATGTACAAGAATTGTATCCTGCATTTAAAAGAGGGGTTTCAGTTGGAAATTACAGTAAAACTGTTACGAGGAAATATGCCTTCAATTTCATAATGAGTGTTACAAAAAGGGTGAGCATTCCTAGTCTGTGATCTATAAGTAATATTTACATTTCCATTTTGAACTTCTTAAATGAATCTTCCAGATGTGTTGTCTCCCCTTTCAAGATATCAGCAAAAGGCAAATAACTGTTTATATAGAGACTTATTATTTTTGCTTATCAATAATTATTTTGGCATGGTCAAGGGTTCAATAATCAGCTGGACTACCTCTTCATTATTTACTCAGTGCCTTCTATGAGAGATTAATTCAGCAATGCACTTTTAGGGGCAGTGTCACACATACAGTCCTAACCTGTTTTCTGCTTCCTGTTTCTCATTTTTGGATGGCATACCAAGATGTGTCAGGAAAAAGCTGGCTGCATTATAATCTGACTAGGATAGAGATCTTGCTTGTATTGTAGAAGGAAATTTTATGGGGACAATCAGGAGGATCACTTGTTCCATGAGTTTTCCTTGGAATTTTACATGTCAGAAAAATGTTTAGAGAGCTTATTTTTTTCTCAGCTATTTTTCTGTGGACATTGCTGTAGGTGTTAATACCATGCAGTTGCTATCACATGCCAAGAACTGCATTCTTCTCAGTTCTCTCCAGATTCAGGTTGATGCAATAGTTTTGATATGTAACCCACTATTCCAGTGCACTCCAAAAACGTAACTTGTTATTTTTACTTGCTATTTTCTTCTGAAACTTTTCTGGGGCTCACAGATAAGGTCAACATTTTTGCTTTCAGAAACTGTCAAAAACTCAAATTTTCTTCTAATAGTTGGTGATTTTGTGCCCTTCCATATTTTGTCATGCCTGCTGAAATCAGAAGAAATAATATTACTTTAAAAAACAAAATTGTACTAAGATTTATCTCTTCATTACTTTCTGTAGTTCAGAGAAAGAATTATATGGGTATTGAATTCTCAGGGTTTTTTCCCCCTTAATTTCTATAGTACTTTTCAAAATTACAGTTACTCTATGTGATAGTTATTAATAATTCCAGTGAGAATCTCCCACTTAGACCTGTCAAGCTGACATTATTCTTTCTCACCACTGATTATAACTGTGGGGAATCAACATATCTGAAATTGATGCAGGCAGAAAGAGGTCATACAGCAACCCACATCCCTGGAAAGCCTGTCAGCTGCTTCTGACTGGGTGGTAGCACAGGAGACAAACCAGTGTTCACAGGAGCTCTTAATGAGATCTGCTCATTTTTTGCCTGAATTGTGGTGGTGGTGGTTCTTTGAAGCCTGGTGCTTTCCCAAGTTTTTTGCTGGAAGGAATTTTAGCTACCCTATTGCAGAAAATTGTCTCAACCACACACGGATTCTGTATTTTATCTAAGAAAAAAAAAAAAGAGAAATGGAAAAAATCAAATGAAAACTGTAATAGTGTAGATAAATTCGCAATTGTTAACTATGATTGCTTAATCAGATTTATGGATTCCATATGCTCCATAAGATGGTAACTGGAAAGGAACTTCAGAGCTCCCTCTGGCCTTGTCCAAGGTTGCCCAGCTTAAGATTCTGTGCAACACTTGGATTGGGGTGGTGGTTTTGCAATATATACAGCTTAAAGCATACGGAGTATTTTTAGCCACCAGATTTTTTTGTCTTCCCTCTGCATGAAGAGTAGAAACAAAGTTGTTGACATGAAAAGATAAAAAGCTATTTTTATTCTGCACTGCAAGTCAATTATTGCTACTAATTCAGTGATAGGTTGGCTATTTGGTAGATTTGTGTCATTGTGCACATGGATTTCATAGGTCCAGTCTTTCTCGCCCAGGGAGTGCACTGCATGTACTACAGCAGTATTTGTTAGCAGCACTGAGCATATCCAAACAACCTCCACTCTCTTGGTTTTATCATTGTGAGTATTGCCACATATAGTGAAAGCAAAATTCTATTTTAAGCCAAAAGTACAACAGGAAAATAAAATATAGCCAGTAAGAGAACGTGTACATGTAATTGCATATGGAGTAATCAATAAGTAAGAAAGCCACCTATGGCTAAGGCAGAGTTGTTAATGTTAGAGAAAAAAAAAAGGAAAATTGAAGACTTATTTCTAGATGCTACACTTCATGCCATGGGAAATGAACAAAGCGGATCTGTTTTCTTGGTGAGTGACTTCTACATCTCTGATCATTATTGGATTGCATCTAGAATATTGTGTTCAGTTTTGAATGTTTCCCGACCCATGCAAGACACAGACAAAACTATCTGAACTATCTGCAAGCTTCTGCACATCATTATTGGATTGCATCTAGAATATTGTGTTCAATTTTGAATGTTTCCCAACCCATGCAAGACACAGACAAAACTATCTGCAAGCTTTTGCAAAGTTGAAGAAAGAGAGAAGGTAACAAACTGTGTAACACTTACATTCTGATCCTTTAATTCCTTTTCCCACTGAAGAAGTAAAAAAAAAAAAAAAGGTTCATTATCTAACCTTTTTATTCCCTCGATTACTTGAAATAATAAATTGCGAAGTGTTTCATCAGTGCTTGAAATTGGATTATTGCCTAAATATCTGTGTAACACTTACATTCTGATCCTTTAA